ACTTATTTGATTCTCTTCACCATTCATTTTGTGTGTGTGTGTGTGTGTGTGTGTCTCCACAGAAACAATCCCAGGCATGGTGTGATATCAATAGGTATTTCTATCTACACCTAAGACTATAATTCAGAAATTTATGCTTTCCTCTTACTGCACAAATTAGACCAGTGAGACAACAAGGGGGAGGGAGGAAGTAGAAGTATTTAAAAATAAAGCAAACACTGGAATAGTCAAACATGAATTTTACAAGCACAAAACTCTTTAATTCTGACAATTCCTAAAAGACAAAAAGGGCTGGAATCTTTATGGACAAAAGGTTTCAAAAAGACATCATATAGAAATAATTCAATAAATGTAGTAGGTTCAGAGGAAAATCAACAGCTAAGAAAGAAACGTCCTATATAAGGATGCCTGCTGAGGTACGCCAATCTAACTTAATTGATGATGCCTTGAAGAAAGACAGCTTTCAGGCAACAATCTGGAAAGACAGGAGATTTAAGAAAAAAAAAAAGAGGTAATTAGGAATATATTATGCTTGCTAGCAGGAAACATTACATTGATTTTTCCTTAATAAAATGTTAATGGGCTCCTCAGAAGAATTCTTGACTTAAAATTTGGGGACGTCTCAGACTTTGTGAAGAAACCAATACTTTCACAAATTTATCAAACTATTGGCAAAGTAAAATGAGGACTTTAAAGATGTTTATATTAGTCATTACAAGGAGTTTTAAACAGATGAACTCAAAGACAATTTAAGTAATACATTCCAATGAAATTAATAGAAAAATCATGGATATATATGTATATCTGTGTGTCTGTGAGTTCATAATTTTGCAGAAATAGAGGTCGAAAATAAGACATAAAGAACTCAGTTAAGGCACTCCCAGAGATGTAGCCCAGTTGAGCATTTAACCCAGATAACTGTATACCTTTATGAGTCTCTCAAAGACTGAAGTTGGCGACAAAAAATTTCATGTCTAGAAATTTAAGTGTTTATATTTTTCAGAAGTAATGTGTTCTAAAAGATGAGCTACACTAACAAAACTTGTTAAAAAGTGAACTAACCAGAATAATGTATACATTTATAATAAGAAATTTAACTTCCAAGCAAATTGATATACTTGTGTCAGGTGATCTACACAGTGTGGGAAAAGTTACATAGACAGGCAAGCTAAAACTAGGAGACTGCTTTGTAAGCTTGTAATAGGAATCACTAGCATAGGTGGTATAATCTAGATGGCTGGCATCTTAAAGACACTATAGCTTGGGGTTCTCAACAATATAAGCAGACCGTAAACACTAAACCAGACTTACTGGCTCTTCAGGGTCTGCTCTTCCCTGGATGGGGCTAAGTATGTGTTTTATAAATGTTCCCCTTTTGTATTCTCTTTCTGGATACTGCAAACCATTTCTCTTTGTAGTTCAGCAAACATTAGAAGAAAAGACAGAAAATCAAAGATATTTTTAGTGAGTATAGTGCAAACTAGAGAGAGGAAAGAGATGAGAGTTACTTAGGGATACAGCTAAGTTAAGCTTAAGGATTGTAAAGAAGTTATAACTTTAGCAGTTTTGACCTGAAGCAAGAATGACAAATCAAGTCTTGAGGGAAAAGCATCAGGGATGCCAGAATTGCTTATTGCCAAAGGCAATGTGGGCTCCTGGTGTAGATAGCTATGATGTCAGTGCTTTGACCTAAAGCCATAGAGTTAGATGAAGAGGAAAAAAGAGCTTTTCTTCTGGAGAACAGATGGGGAACTGGAGGGTTAAAGGAAGATAAGAGGCTGTGATAACAACCTGAGTCACAAAGATAGACACACTTGAAGAAGCCTCCAGTAGGTAAGCAGCCCCAAGGTTTTGGTTAAAGCAGCTAACTCTTACTTGTCTGGACTCTTTCTGAAAGTCGCTAATCAAGTCCTGGCTTGAACTCCCTCAAGGAAGGAACAAGCTTGGTCTGAAACTGGAAAGTTGAAGCCTAAACCTCCTGGGAGTTACCAGCAATCTAAAACACCAAGTCTGAAGTTTGCAGACAATTCACAGGTGATATTACCTGGTGTGGATATTCAAGGGCATAGTTGTGTCACATCTGCATGGAGTAAAGTAGTGGTAAACTTCTTAATTAAACTAGGGCCTAACCCAGTGTCTGGCATACAGTAAGTGCTTAAATATTTTTTGAATGAATGAACCTTAGATGTTGAATGAGCAAGATAATAGTAGGAGAAAGTGGGTCCTGGGTTGATGTTATCTATTATGATATTGGATAGGCAGTAGTTAAGTCGTGGCTTCCCTGTGTTGCTATAGATGAAAGGGATATTAATTGTGGGGTAGAGATGAAGTCATCATGTCCATATTTTCACAAAGTGAGTGAGCACATGGTTGGCTTGTAACCCCATTCCTTTAAAAGGGATCAGAATTGAACATGGCTCCCATCACAGAAATATGCAGAACTCATGCCGAGCACCAATTGCATGGGACACTCAGGTGTGGGAGATGAACTGTACCATCAAACTATCTAAGGACAAGTTAGTGGCAGATATTCTCCAAAGCGTGTTGAGGGGAGAAAAATCTTTCTAGAAATTCAATTATTAAAGCTAGTACTTAAATTTACCTCTAAGAAGTTTTCATAAAGAGACTGTAAATGAGTACTGTGATTAAAAAGAAAACATGTTTGTTCAGCCTAGACTAGCAGGAATAAACACAGCATGGAGCCTACAATGGAGGGTAGGCAGGGCCTACATGTGGCACAGAGAGAAAACACCATGCTAAATTAGAACTAATACTACTTTTGACAAGCTGGCAAAAGGTCTTCATTAACCTCTTAATGTAGAAGAACTGAATGTGTATTCCAGACCTCCTACTATAATAATTGCATGTGAGTATGCTCAAGTTAGCTATATAATAAATTGTATAAACATAGTTTTCATTCCATAATGCAAATAAAGGCATTTTCAGAAAATTTCTTCATCATTTTCACAAAGTCTTGATTAAAAACCACCACCACTGGAACCTCTGGGCATTGACGTAGATGGGAATTTGGATTGAGAAAACTTGACTGATGATTGACATCAGGGTGCTGGATCACAGTGGGAAAATCCAGGTAGGCCATAACAATTACAGAATATTGTTTTCACTCAGCTTGTGTTTTCCCCAGAATGCTGTAAATCGAAGAAAAAATAGGGATATCAGAAGCAGCAATTGACCCAGCCTCAAAGTTGAGGACATAAAAAGGCAGGTGAAGGATTGACGTAGATAACGGTTTAGGTCAAAATGGTAGACTGCAAGGTGCATTTTCTATACTGGGCATACTTAATGAAGGTTATATTGTCTTTAAAATGTGTTTCCAGGGCTCTCTCCAGAAACTAAGGGGTAAATTAATGCCCCAGCCCTGAAACATCAGTTTTGAAACTGATTTTCTCCTGTTTGAAACTGGTTTTGAAACTCTTCCACCTCTCTTGGTGGGAATATGGGTTTCTAGTCAGCTACTGGGTTTGGCTGTCATTGGCTCCAGGTCTAGTGTGCATGGAAGCCACTAAGCAACCATTGTCATCAGGCCCTAGGAAAAGTTGTAACTTCCACTCTCTACTTGTTCGGTGGGTTTGGAATATAGACTCAGACACCAATTTTAAAATCTTTAAATTTTACAACTGAGAGTGACTGGGAAGGCTTGGCTGGACAGTAGATGTGAGTATCTTGTTAATAACCGCCAGATGATAACATCTGATAGGGTAGGATAAGTGGTTTGGAGCTGATTCACTCATGCTGTCAAGGACTTAAAGCCTTGCTATTTATTATTTGCTGTACTCTATAAAACCTTTTGTTTACAAATTATTTAAATTAGTTTTTCTTTCCAAGAGCTGCTGATTAACTCACAAACTATGGAGCAAAGTACATCTGGAACAGGTTAAAAGATTGCCCAGGGTTATGTGGCAAGGCTGTGGGGGTAGAGCTGGTATGAAAACAGAACTCTCTGGAGTTCTCTCTCAGCCTGCTGAGTCACTGTGCTGCTGAGAGTCACCATGTGGCTCCCTCCAGCTAGGTTTGTGATTCTTAAAGCAACTGTCACCATAGGAAGTTTACAGATCATCTTTTCGGTGTCCGTAACTATAAATGATCTCTTGGAAAATGTATTTGAGCTGCAGAGTAAGTAATAGAGTTAAAATGCCTTCATTTGACTCTTGAATCTGGTAAAAGCTGATTTTCTTAAGGCCCCCATACACACTCAGGTATAACTTCTCTAGAGGACTGTCAAACCTCTAGAATATTCAAGGAAAGATGGTTTGTACTTGAGTCTGAAAATACGTTCATTTTTGGCCTTGGCTGACTAGAATAATGGTCTGAGTAATGTAAGCCTGAGACAGTGAATTAAGATAATGCCCCACATTTGACTCCTATACTGACAACCCACCTTTATAAACTCATGCCTTTAGACTTACATTTTCCTTTTTCTCTTTTTAAATCAGTAAGGCCATTGACAGTCATCCGAAAAGGTTTTCATTCCTTTTAGCTGTTAGCAAAATTTGAAATATATGGATTATTATTATTATTTTTTTTTTTGAGACAGTGTCTTACCCTGTCATCCATGCTGAAGTGTAGTGGCACAATCACGACTCACTGCAGCCTTGACCTTCTGGATTCAGGTGATCCTCCCCCCTCAGCCTCCCAAGTAGCTGGGACTACAGGTGCCTGGCTAATTTTTCTATTTTTTTGTAGACAGGATTTTGTCGTGTTGCCCAGGCCAGTCTCAAACTCCTGGGCTCAAGCTATCCACTTGCCTCAGCCTCCCGAAGTGGTAGGATTACAGGCGAGAACCACCACAGCTGGCCAATATATGGAGATTTTATAAATCACAAAATTGATGGGTTTTGAGATGATCTGTTTATATGGTTTATGAAGAGAGTAAGGATGCTTTTGAGTTTTATCTTTTGTGTTGACTGTTAACTGGTATCTACTTGTAATGGATGAAATGTTTCTGTGTCTCCCAAATTCATGCGTTGAAATCCTAGCCTCCAATGTGGTAGTATTAGGAAGTGGGCCTCTGGGAAGTAATTAGGTTATAAGGGTATAGGCCTCACTAATGGAATTAGTGTCCTTATTAAAGGGGATCCAGAAAGTTCTTATGTTCTCTTTCTGCCAGACAGGACAGTGAGAAATCATCCAGTGTCTGGAATAGGGCTCTTAACAGCTGACCATGTTGGCAGCCTGACCTCCAACTTCCAGACTCGAGATCTGTGAAAAAGAAATATCTGTTGTTTATAATCCTCCCAGCTTCTGGTATTTTAAAGATATGGCCCAAAAGATAATAGGTATATCTGAACAGTCAAGAGGCAGTATTGCACCGAAATCTGGGAGTATGGCAAGTCAAGAGCCAATTTCTGAAGTATCTATCCTTTGTCTTCTTTACCTTTTTCTCTTTGCTTACCTCATCCCTTTTGGCTGCTCTAAACACCCTTCCACCAGTTTAATGTCCTCTCCAAGCATGTCTTTACTTAAAGCCCTCTCCCCATATTCTGAAATTGCTCTTCTTTTTTCTAAGTGTCTGCTATTAAAGTACTCATTACTCTGGGGATATCTCAACTAGAGGTAGGAGAGAAGTAATTTGACTAAGGCAGCCCATGTACTCGCCATAAAGGACTTAATTGTTAAATGAATCCTTTTAGAGTTATTTAGCTTTAAAAATGGGCTTGTTAACCCAAATGAACCTTGATTTGGTAGCATTTCACACCTGAGTAGAGGGAACGAGACATATTCAGGCAGTGTGAAGAAGAGATGTTTAGGGTAGTGTTTTTTTTTTTCCCCTTTCATTCCCAGCCTTGTAGTTCACTGTAGGGACTAAGGCATGAGGCTAGATAACTGCAAGTATTGATCAAACTGTTTCTAATACCACATTATTCCCCTACAGAAGACGAGGCAATTCAAACAGTTGATTTTTAGATGACATAAATGAAGACTGAGTAAGTGCCAGCCGGCCTGTAGGACTTGTTTTAAACTGCGAGACGGTCATGCATTTCATAAGGTGGATTACTCGTTTACGTTCTAAGGGTACATAAGTATTTGGCCTTGCTTTAGTTGATAACCCTTTCACCTTGCTTGAATTTCGCACTGTTGGTCGCTAGTAGGCTAGAAAACAAAGTAGAAGTAGAAATACCTTCTGTTGCTTAGTAGCAGTTTTCTCTCCCCTTTCTACTGGCTTATGACTGACTTGATGACATTTACCAGTGGGTGATTTAGAGCCTATAGGAAGGGGATAAAAAATAATTCTAGGTTATGATTCTTTTTTTCACAACTGGGATAGAATGTCAGCATATTTTCAAAGAAATTGGCTGAGAACTGTCAACTATGAGGAGATAGAGAAAGGGAAGATTCTAATGGCAAACTTCACTTTCTTCATATTTCTCCCCTCAAAGACATACAAGTTTGGTCTTAGGTAAAAGGAAAAGCTTTAGGTTTCTAGCACCAGGATTCCAGTTTATTGTTCACATTCATTTGAGCTGCTGAGTTAACTTAAAGAACAAGACTAATCTGGTTTTCAGAAACTTGAGAAAATTTATTGTATTTGTGAAGCCCACAAGCCTCATATGGGAGACAGGCAATTGTATAACTTCAGATTGTTTCAAAGCTATATATGTTGGATCTAAGACATATATAGGCCACAGAAATAACTTTTCTCACTGAAAATAATCCTCACTTAAATAATTCAGCCTCTAGCCAACATCATTACTTGAGATAGTGTGGTGTGGAGGAAAATATCTACAAGAAATGTAAAAGGAGTCAATGACTTTGACATCTACTTGAATCATGTTTGTCTTAGGAAGTTCCCATCCAACTTCTCCATGTGAACCATTGACATTCTCCCAATATTCAGTTCTTGCCCACAGGGACTGGGTATTTCTAAACATTTTGATGCAATTACACAGTTTGCATTCTACTTTATAGGTGCAATAATAGACTGGAATCAACAGTAAAGTTACTGAAACATAGCTACCTACTCTAGAAAGATAAAAATCTTCTGAGATAATAAGGGAGTACAAATATTGCTAATTAGTTCTATATGATGGATGAAGAAAATTAAAGACCTGAAACTGCTTGAGGCTAGGTGTCAGAAAAGTTTATAATTGTCCAATTATAAACAAAACAGGAATAATTTTAATTGGTACAGATTTGACTTCAAACTTTAGCTGCTTTCAGGTAGTAGTCTAGAACAAGCCTGCTAAAATAACTTATGCCTTGCACTCTGCTATGGTACAGATGGTTTCAGGAAGACTACATTTGTCCTGTAAGAAAAGCACTTGCATGACTTGAGGTTGCTGGAAAACAGGCTTGTTCCTGGTATTCACTGGAAAAGTTTGGTAAACTTGCTCAGCCACAGCAGAAAGTATAGGCTTCCTAACCATCACATATCCCTCCCCATGGATCTCTAGGTCTTGATTAGGACCAGGAACAGTTGATTTGGGTAGTAGGGTGGGCAGAATGTAGAATAAATGACATTTTCTTTCTTGCATTGCCTGGCAGAGTGTCGTCTTGGAACACATAAATATAGACAGTTGTTACACATCTTAATTATGTGGAACACAACTGTAGATAATGCAGAAAATATATTGGCCTCTCTGGAAAACATTTGATAGAAAACATACTAACATCAATCTGAAAAAGCCCACAATTCTTGTGACATGGTAAAAATATCCTATGGAATTAACAGAATCCAGAGAACTCAGCTAGGAGCTTTGAACTGACCCCCAGGACCTTTCTTTTCCTCACAGAGCCAGAGACAATGACAGAATCATTAGAAGTGTTGCCTTTGGCTTTCAATTGATGAATATATCTCCCACTATTCTCTCTGCTCACATCATTCTTAAAATTCTGAACCAAATCATATTTGCTGTTTTTCCGATAGAAGAAAAACAAATTTTGTTTAACATTACATGTTAAAAGGCATTTTAAATCTCTTGTCTATTTCTAGACTTAAATTAGTTGGCCCAATAATATTCTATAACATTCACCTTTCTTTACAGCACTTGCGCTCTGAGATTATTTTGCTTATATACTTGTTTATTTCTTGTATTCCCTAATAGAATATAAGCCTCATGCAGGCAGAAGCTATAGCAATCTTTTTGCTGTATCATTGAATTTGGTTTACTAGTATTTTGTTGAGGGATTTTAAATCTACCTTCCTCAGTGTTATTAGCCTGTAGTTTGTTGTTGTTGTATGTTTGTCTGGTTTTGGTATTGGCCTATCCATTTGAGGAGACAGCTACCTTTTTCAGCTTCTGTACATGTTTTGTTTGATGATGTGAGATCTTTACTTACAAATATTGAAACATAAATGCTGGTCTATTGTCGCATCCCATTCTGGGGAAGACTTCTAGTGAGCACTGGAACTTAAGACAACACTGAAACAATTTTATTGCTCTGTTATTTTTTCTTGATCTGAGGAAGATTCAGATTGAATATTGGAATTCAACTGCTGCTCTAGATCGAAATTGCTGCTTTGCCATTGTTTAACTTTTTGAGAAAGGCTTAGAATGAGAATCAAGGCTTAAATGCTGGCCCAGAATTATATTGCTTTATCCCACCTGATTTGCCAATGTGCAGGTGCCCACTTTCCCTCTACCCTCCTTGCTTTGGTAATGCACACACACACACACACATACACACACGGACCTTTCAGCAGAAATCCTACAAGCCAGATTACACTGGAGGCCTATATTCAGCATCCTTAAAAGATAATAAATTCCAGCCAGGCATGGTGGCTCAAGCCTGTAATCTCAGCACTTGGGGAGGCCGAGGCAGGTGGATCACGAGGTCAAGAGATCGAGACCATCCTGGTCAACATGGTGAAACCCCGTCTCTACTAAAAATACAAAACATTAGCTGGGCATGGTGGCGTGTGCCTGTAATCCCAGCTACTCAGGAGGTTGAGGCAGGAGGATTGCCTGAACCCAGGAGGCGGAGGTTGCGGTGAGCTGAGGTCGCACCATTGCACTCCAGCCTGGGTAACAAGAGTGCAACTCTGTCTCAAAAAAAAAAAAAAAGATAATAAATTCCAACAAAAACTTCATAACTAGCCAAAGTAATCTTTATAAGTGAAGGAGAAATACAATCTTTTTTCAATAAGCAACATTAAAGGATTTCATTATTATCAAAACAGCCTTATAAGAGGTCATTAAGGGAGTCTTAAACAAGAAAATGAAAGACTATTACCAGCCACTAAAAAAACACACTTAAATATATAGGTCACTGACTTTACAAAGCAACTACATAATCAAGTCTACATAACAACCTTCTAACATCATGACAGGATGAAACCAGCACATATCAAAATTAACCTTGAGCATAAGCAAGTTAAATGTCCAATTGAAAGGCACAGAGTAGCAAGTTAGATAAAGCAGCAAGATCCAAATGTATGCTGTCTTCAAGAGACCCATCTCACATACAGAGACACCCTTAGGCTCAGAGTAAATGGAAGGAGAAACATCTACCAAGCACGGTGGCTTACGCCTGTAATCCAAGAACTTTGGGAGGCTGTGGTGGGCAGATCACATGAAGTTAGGAGTTCAAGACCAGCTGGCCAACATGGTGCAACCTCGTCTCTACTAAAAATATAAAAATTTGTTGGGTGTGGTGGTGCACACCTGTAATCCAAGCCATTCTGGTGGCTGAGGCGTGAGAATTGCTTGAACCCAGGAGGCAAAGGTTGCATTTAGCCATTATCACGTTACTGCACTCCAGCTTGGCTGACAGATTGCCCGCCCCCCCCCTCCCCCCACATATAAAAGAATCTTAAAGAGCAGGGGTTGCTGTTCTAATTTCAGAGAAAACAGACTTCAAAGAAACAATAATCAAAAAGGACAATGAAAGACATTACATAAAGATAAATGGTTCAATTCAATAAGAAGACTTAACTATCCTAAATATATATACTCCAAACACTGGATCAACCAGACTCATAAAACAAGTTCTTAGAAACCTACAAAGAGACATAGATAACCATGCAATAATAGTGGGAGTTCTAGGAATCAAAGGAATGTATCTCAAAATAATAAGAACCATGTACAACAAACTAAAGATTAAGCGAACATATGTCAAAATAGTAAGTGGCATCTATGACAAACCCACAACCAACATCATGGAGAATGGGCAAAAACTAGAAACATTCTCCTTGAGAACCAGAACAAGACAAAATGCCCACTCTCACTACTTGTATTCAACATAGTCTGGAAGTCCTAGCCTGAGCAATTAGGCAAAAGAAAGAAATAAAAGGCATCCAAATCAGAAAGTTTAGAAGCTAAATTTTCTGTCAGTGAGGAAGCTAAACTGTCAGTCCTTTGCAACAACCTCATTTTATATTTATAGAACCCCACTGACATTATTAGGCAGATCATCAAGGCAGAAAACTAAAAAACATATTCAGGACCTAAACTTGAAGACCAAATGGGCCTAACAGACATCTACAGAACACTTCACCCAACCACTGAATATACATTCTTCTCATCTGCAAATGCCACATACTCTAAAATTGAGCATGTGCTGGACACAAGTTAATTCTCAACAAATTAGAAGAAAAACCTGAAAATATATTATGTCATGAACATTCTTGGACTGCAAAGCAATAAAAATAGAAATCAACACTAAGAAGACATCTCAAAATTATACAATTACATGGATAAACATGTAAAACATTGGATAAACAATGAAATTAAGGCAGAAATAAAATCTTTTGAAACTAATGGAAACAAAGAACAGAAGCTCTGGGACAGAGTTAAAGCAGTGTTAAGGGGGAAAGTTTATAGCACTGTATGCCTACATCAAAAAGGTAGAAAGATCTCAAATTATCAACCTTACATCACACCTAAAGGAACTAGAAAAACAAGAGCACACTAACCCCAAAGCTAGCAGGAGAAGATAAATATCAGAGCTGAAGTGAATAAAATTGAGATGCAAACTATACACATGACAAAGGGCTGATATTCAGAATCTATAAGAAACTCAAATAAGCAATAAAGAAGCACATAATCCCATCAAAAAGTGGGCAAAGGACATGAATAGACAATTCTCAAAGAAGATATACAAGCAGCCAACAAACAAATGAAAAATGCTCAACATAACTAATTATCAAAGAAATGCAAATTAAAACCACAATGAGATACCACCTTTCTCCTACAAGGATGGCTGTAATTAAAAATTCGAGAAACAATAGATACTGGCATGGATGTGGTGAAAAGGGAGCACTTTTACACTGCTGATGGGAATGTAAATTAGTACAACTACTAGAAAACAGTATGGATATTCCTTAAAGAGCTAAAAATAGAACTGCCACTCAATCCATTATTGAGTATCTACCCAAAGGAAAAGAAGTTATTATATGAAAATGACACTGCACATGCATATTCTTAGCAGCACAATTCACAATTGCAAAGATAAGGAACCAACCTAAATGCCCATCAACCAACGAGTAGATAAAGAAATTGTGGTATATATACACCATGGTATATTACTCATCCATAATAAGGAATGAAATAAGTTTTTTGCAGTAACTTAATGAAGCTGGAGGCTATCATTTTAAGTGAAGTAACTCAGGAATTAAAAACCAAATGTTATATGTTCTCACTTATAAGAGGGAGCTAATCTATGAGGATGCAAAGACATAAGAATAATATAATGGACTTTGGGAGCTCAAGGGGGAAGATAGGGAAGGAGTGAGGGATAAAAGACTATAGGTTGGGTACCAGGTACACT